CTTCTCAACAAAAGTTAATATGCCCGTGTCCGGTGAAGCTGTTAAGCCACGAACACATCCCCCCAGGGTTGCCATCCGTGTCATCAGCGCTGTGCTTGCTAGATCGAAACAAGCAGGTCATCGGCTCATTTCGCGATGCCAGTTTCCTTAGGCATTTTCTTCCTCATAAATTTGGGCGCAAAGGATTTATGCTCGAGGGGAGATTCGGACCCCGGGCATTAGCTTTTGTTGAGAAGCACGATAACCACTAGACCACTAGTCTAGTCAGCGGGTGAGAGGCACGATAACCACTAGACCACTAGTCAGCGGGCCCGCTGACTAGTGGTCTAGTGGTTATCGTGCCTCTCACCCGCGGACTAGACTAGGGGTCTAGTGGTTATCGCGCTTCTCAACAAAAGCTAATGCCCGGGGTCCGAATCTCCCCTCGAGCATAAATTCTTTGCGCCCGAATTAATGAGGAAGAAAATGCCTAAGGAAACTGGCATCGCGAAATGAGCCGATGACCTGCTTGTATCGATCTAGCAAGCACAGCGCTGATGACAGGGATGGCAACCCTGGGGGGATGTGTTCGTGGCTTAACAGCTTCACCGGACACGGGCATTAACTTTTGTTGAGAAGCACGATAACCACTAGACCACTAGTCAGCGCTGACTAGTGTGGTCTAGTGGTTATCGTGCTTCTCAACACTCCCCCTTTCTACCAGGATGTAGTCGAGGATCGAGTATTCATTGCAAACTGCCCTTTGCCTGGTGAACTCCGGCTTATCGCATTCCCTCCTACCGTTCAACACCATCAGCTCGTTGCTTCCCAAGAATTCAAGCAACCTCACTCCGTTGTCATTCACTTTGTCTTCTCCGTGCTGCCCGATCGTCTGTCCTCTACTGGAAGCTTTCCCTACTCTGGAGTTGAAATCGCCCACCATGACAACTTCTCCCTTCCTACTGAGCCTCTGGACATCTTCCCCAATACGTCCAAAGTTCTCCTGCGCCTTGCTTGCGACTTGGGGGGGGGAGGTACTTGTGATACAACCACACCATCCCGAAACTACGGCGACGGAACGCTACTTGGTGTAATGGGTAAGTTCGTGTGCCGACTCAAGTACGGCATTGTCAGCCAGACAAGAGATGATTCACTGGAATAAGACGTGAAGGGACAGCAGTTCAGATCACCCAGTCACATGGGATGGGGGAGGGCGCAAAACGCCGCGAGTGCACACGTTATTGGCATTCTACGTAAGAGCATCACGACACGAGCCTGGGGGACAAGGAGCGAAAAAAACAGATCCTTCGCGCGTGGCGAGCTAAAGTCTCTTTGTTCTTTGCGCTAAATGTGCTTGTGTACTTTACGAAACAGGCGGGAATTACACTTGTTTAGCCGTAATGTTACTGATTCCATTGCTTCGAGGACTTCGTTCTGTTGCGACCCCTTGGATTTTTCGCGCTTTTTCCCATACATTAACAATAAAACCAACCCATGGCACGTCCAGTTTGTCACAGCAAACGCGAGGATGATGACCAGCTTCTGGTTCATCCTTGTAAAGCGTATAGCCTGGGTCGGCGAAAACTCGGCATGGCTCTCCGTCCCGGCATTGTGAAGACTACGAATGTACGACATGCGTTTAAATCAGTATCCCCAACTTGGTACCCCCCTTCCTTTTCTTCCGGGGGAAAAAACATTCATCCGCGGTGCCTATCTACAGTTACGGTAGTTAGGCTAGATCACCAAACGTTTGGACGATGCGTGTATCTACCCCGGCCTAACTGTTTTCTGGGGTTAGGGGGGCTCGACGGGGACTCAGTATTGAGTAGACTACAACCTCTTTTCGATGTTTGGCAAAGTGTTAAATGGTTTCCTTATCGCTTCGACAAGCGTTGCGTGCCATTTAAAACTGAGGCAAGTTTACACCCGTCTCTCACCTCTATTCTTTCCCCCACGACGTGTAGGCAGTGCAGGCAACGCTCTAAGAATGCCATCTTCTCTAGCTGCTTGTCGTTCATGTCGGGAATTCGACTTCGCATCGTCTGCTTACACCTGACGAAACGGTGGGTGAACCCGAAGGAGTCGAAAAAGAGAATGCAGGTTGCTGGAAGGGAGTTACAGTACATCGACCCCCCCCCCTCTCCCCAACAAAAAGTGTACCGTGTGCTCGCCCGAATAATACCAGTATTCGACCGAAGGCAAGTATAGGGGAGTCAACCAGGTTCTAGGCCGCCAGTGGTCTGCTTTCAACAAACATTGGCCCCATACTTATGCGGCGGGAAGCATGCAAAGTGTGTGAGACCTCTGTCTCCTGGTTCACCTCCTCATCTGGAGTTGGGCATCCACGTACGATTTTGGTATGTTAGGTTCACTGGCTGGCATCGTTTTCCCGGAGCACCTGGAAATAGAGTACAACACGAAACGGTACGATCTTACCTCGCGTGAAGGTTGCTGATGGCCAGCATGACTTGGCCGGACTCCCTGCACACCCCCATCACCCGCTCTCCTTCCTGTTCGCTCTTGTGCTCCTCTCTCTTGACGGCCCCCCTTATCTGCTCCAACTCCATCTGCTTCTCGTTTAGGGAAGAATTGGTCACCAGAACTTCATTTTGCTTGTCCTGCCTGAAACCGAAAACGCAAGGAGGTCGGTGAATGACCGCATGCGTACATGTTCAGCACCCTGCGCACGAAAGCAGATTATCTATTTAACACTGCTGCATACCGTCAGCTCTGAGCCACACTTCTGTAGCTCCAAAGCTCCCACATATTTTTTCATCAGCGTTGAATCGCCGTAGCATGCATGTGCACAACAAAACGAGACGCACGAAATGTCCTGTGGGAATCCTATAGAAAATACTAGTGGGTACAATAGCGCGGAAGACAAACAGAAACTCTCCAACTCCCTCAACAACCGAACAAGTGCAACCACTCAGCTCATACAGCGTCTTGAAAATCGAGAGGTACTGCATACAGTTTTAGTGATGACCCTCGCGGCTCCGCCCTTCGTCCGCCGTCATCCCCCCGTCGTGGACGAACGATGTACCAATGCTATCTATGGTTACATATTTTGCCTCAAACGAAAATCACCTTCACATATTCCTAAAAACTGCTAAAAGTAACCGAGGGCCGGAGCTGTCTACAGGAAAAACCTGGGAATATCGTTGAACTTTGCACAGTTGGGTGGCCCATCACATGGCCGAAAACCAACCGTATGAAAAGGATGTTGATCCTCTTCTCGGGGCGTTTTGGAACGATCTCTTCATTGGAACTTCTGATGGCTTTCTTTGTGTTCGAGAGAAGCGAAAAGTTATCGAGCGCGAGAGGAAACGTTACCCGTAAACCCACAATGCTCAACGTACAATCCGGCAACGCCTGGAACTTTACCCCTCCTCCAGAGGAAAAACTTCTCGATATATAACATGATGAGACACCAACACACCTGTATTGCTGCATCTCAAGACGTCCTTTCTCGTAGCTGGTGTCGTGCTCCTCGCACAGCTTCATCAAGTCGAAGTTCGCATCTCGTAGCGTTTTGAATCTGTGTATTGTTGCACAAAATTAGAAGTAAACGTCATCAATCCGACCATTCAGCCCTAACCAACCCTATCATGCATTCGGATCGTTTATGACACGTCTCCTGTGCCAGGAAGTTTCAAGAGGTCGAGGAAGGAATGAAACAAATGGTAACTGACGCGTGGCGAGGGGTGTGTCCCCGGAGGTCACTGGCCTAGTCGGTAGGCCACCAAGGTACCGTAGTCGAAAGAACACCATGCAGCTAAGAATACCTGTTGAGCAAGTCGCTGATCTCGTCTCTCTCCGGGTCGGCTGCGGAGCTGCTTCCCTTCAGGTAATCCTCGTACCTTTTAAGCCGAAGTCGTCGCCCCTCCAGCTTAGCTTCCTACAAGGCAAAAAACGACACGAACCCCTCTAGTCTAGGTCTCACATACATTCATTCCATTTCTCAACTCTCGCAGGGAGCAAAAAGGTCAGGTCAACTAAAGAAGAGTCGGGCAATTACCAATTGTTAGCAGTAGCTGTACATTGAAGTCGCCGTCCACCATGTGTAACAATGGAATCTGAGACTTGATGTCGGAACGCTTGATGCCAGTGGATCGTATCATATCTGTTGATATAGCTATCTGAAAGTGTTGCATCTATTTACTACCGTATTTCCCTAACGATAGTTCTATCGTGGAGCAGCTGCGAGAACATAAAAAAAAACTCTTTCGTAGTCTCCCCCGGCATCCGGCAGTACGCGTATATAATGCGTCGCGTCAGGCGCGCAATGTTAGGTCTAAGGGCACGCAAGGTTCATCTACATATTTTGGGTAGGTGGGCGTTAATCTACCGGGCTGAAGGCGTCGCCGCATACGCGTACCACATTCGATCTTCAGTCTCCACCCCATGATGCCACAAGGCCGGCTACCGATCGCAAGGAGGGTGAAGCCCCACGCATCGTATGTGTTTCTCCAATTGATGCACCCAAGATGGAACACACAAATGGAACCCAGGAATTTCCAGGAGCCCAAGGTGTTGACAGTAGGTATGTGTTGGAGAGTCAAAATAAACGTTCGCGTAGGGCTGACGGCGGACCTACAGTACATTGAGTATCGACATTTTTCACTCTCGCTGTCGCAAGATAACCTTGCCTCCGCCATTGCCGAGGACAATTCCTTCTCAAGTTTTCGGAGCTCCGCCGCCTGTTGGTCCAAGATTCGGCGTTCCTGCGTCAATAAGTTGGAGGGTAACCACCGAATGGTGAACGTATAGGGTTAGTGTACCGACAAGCAACCAGCGCCTAGTCTTCCCTAGAGAAGCGACCGGCAATGGCCAGCATGGCCGGTCCAATCGCCCAGATCTGCGAGTATTGTGAGAAGAGGCTGTTCGTGATAGTTGCTGCTGTGTGTCGACAGAGTAACGTAGAACAGTTCAAATGACGGGGCTGCGGTGCTCACGCACCCAGCTTACTCCACTCTGCTACCCTGTCTCTCGACCCAAGGTCTCATCAATACAACATCTTTCCCCCAGAAGCCACGAGTTTACCAACAGAGGCAAACCATCCAGCTGCTTTAAACTATTTAACGCTTATTGTGGCTGGCACATGGGCTTCCCTAAAAAAGGCTATTTGTGTTGCAACAGTTCCGAAAATCATGCGAATCGATACACCTTGCTGGATGTAATGCATAGAACGTTTCGTCGTACCCTGACGGGTGTGCACCGTCCGGCACACTCACAATTGTACCCAATACTAGACTAGTCTACCTCTACTTCCGGCAGGAGTCCAGCACCGTACAGTGACATCGAGTCGACTAGCACCTCTAAGGTTTTCGCACAGACTACATAGCGTTCACCAGTGCCTGGATAAGAAGGCCAAAGAGTAGAGGTAGGTTCATGTTCCATCGCCACCGTTACCACCGTCAACCGTGGGCGGTCTGTCGTGTGGTAGAGTGTTTGTAGACGAGGAACTACTGCGGATCTATAGTAACTTCGTCTTCGTCAATGCGAAGGTTTTGTGCCGCGGATTCTGCCTCTCTTCCTAATAGTTTTCATTGTTCGTGTTGAGGTAAAGTACTGTAGTACTGTATTATAGTAGGTTGAGCCTCGTGACGGTCGTGTGCTTAGTGGGCGGGCCTTGTTGAAACACACTAACTTATGATTCATAACCACGAATGAAGTGTTATGTACCCACCTGCTTGGCTTTGGCCTCTGCTCTAATCCTCTTTGCGTCGTTCTCTTGGATGAACTTCTCGAACTTCACCACCTGCTCTCGCATGTCAACTTGCTTCTGCTCGAACTCCGCCTGCCACGGGCCCGACGGATTGTACACAACGTTCTTTCTTATTTGAGACCCGCCCTTTGTAGAATATGCTTATGTATTACCAACGACCGGTCGTTCGTACGGTGCTTGCCTTCTATTGCCTATGCTATGTAGACGAACACGGCTTGCTTCAACATCCATCCATCTATGGCGGACATGACGGGGGTGCAGCAAACGCACTCGTATTCTGCTTCCACCAAGCAAGACATACTCCGATAATATCCGCGCAATCTGAGCCCAAACAACGTGGACAATGATTAACCCGTTTGTACACCGACTCCTTCACGGTCAACGCGGGAAAAGGACGACTGAACCTTTCGCGGGATAAACATCAAGGCCAAAACAATGCAGGAGAACGGAAGGAGAACAAAAACATTTCAATATTATCTCCCCTGGCCCAGGCTGATGCGCCCAGATGATACACCGAAAGGTGTAAAAGTAACCGCCCAGAAGGAAAGGGATGGCATGCTTGTACACAGGAGCATGTTGCTGGCACTGAGTCAGCCACACTTATTACTACCAATTAGCTCCTTTCCTCCGCAGATTTGTTGCCGTCCCGTTCTGTATTTACCTATGTGTACAATGTAGCAGTTTTAACGTGTTCCACCTCTGTGTACATGTGTAGTTCTAGACGTTGTCTTTTCGCAAACCTACCTCGCGCTGGTCGCAGTTGTCCATGCGGGTGTTATACTCATCTTTCATGAACTCAAGCGCATCGTCCACCTGTTGGGATGGCATGGCACACACGATGTCCACACGAAGCATACGGCGAGGACCGTCCGCAACCACGCTCGGTATATTTTTAAGTAGCAGACGTAATGCAACATCTGCGTACTCCCAGCGGCACCAACGACCCGCACTGTACGCAGCGAGTGGTATAACCGAACAAGTGTACATACTATTGTGTACGGGTACCTGTTAACTACAATGAAGTGACGGCAGTATGCGTACGAGAGGATGTGCAGCTGCGTAGTCTACACGTAGCACTTTCTTTGAACGACGTTGTCTCTGTGGACGAAAAAACCACGACCAACCGCCGTAGACTCACCATTGATTGTCACACGGAGCAAATCAGCACAACATCGATGAGAGACCAGCACACAAAACGCATTGGCGTTATATATGCGTCATTTCTACAAAGCCGTGGACAGACCTCGCGCATCTCCTTCTTTTTCTTGAGGAGTAGTGTGGACTGGCTCGTCTGCGCCACGCCAGCCACCATCTCCTCGAGCTGATCCGCGTCGACGGCATCTTCTGCTTGGCCGCCCCTTCTCTTGCCCTTCTGCGTCAGAAATACCCCCTCCTCCTTGTTGGCCATAGCTGAATTGCTATCGCGATGTCTTCACTGCTGTATCACCCTCTACGTGTGTGCTGCCGGCTTGCTGCCCTCGTTGGAGAACAAGAGAACCGAGGAGATCAAGTGAACATGGACTTCCAGACACGTACGGTTTCATCGCAAAACCAAAACGCACTTTGATTTGAAACCCGGGGACGGGGAACGCGGGGTTTGGTTTAAGCCCGTCCTCAAGTTGCCGTCCTGCTTTGTGGTGATAGGGTTTCGTCAGTATGCTTACTGCCTCGCGGTCTTCCGCATCTTTCATGTACGTACGGGCTGGGCGTATGGTGTTAGATATGTTGCTATTCGCGACGCCAATTAAAATGCTGAACTTCGCCGTTGTCCCCTGGATCCGGTGCTGTTATCCTTATTGGTATGTGGAGCCGCAGTCACACGTGCCGGACTTTTTCTCGAAACATGCCCAAACAAGGTGGAAAACAAACAAATCGTGCGGAGGGATGTAGCAACTTCGACTTCAAGCTCGACGAGGGACGTGAGCGGCTGAACGTATTTTCATTAGTCAGCCCGTTAGCGCGGCCGTTGCAAAAAAACAAGAAGACACATGGACTACAGAGCACCATACGAGATCCATAATAGGCCGGCAAAATAGCTCTAGCAGGCACACCACTTGTGCATTCGCCTCAGCAGGAAGAAGACTCCGCCGTCCGTCTTTGCTCGGGTCCAAAGAGGCAGTTTTCTCTCGTTGGAATGGAGAACGTGCGATGTCGTGAACATGTTTGCTTGTATAGCAGGTGGGAAGCTCTACGGCTACTTGAAGTACATATGTCCTTGCAGTACCGTACATCGTGAGACAGTATCGAGGGCGATGAGAGTTCCAATGATTCACAGTATCGATACAGGCAGCCAAAACAAGCAGTTCCCACAGGCAGCCAAAGCATACCACACGTTCGTGTCGCACCTTCTCTGTTGTGCCCTTCAGAAGGGTGAACATGCGCACGAATGCATCAATCCCGAGGACAAAACAGGCCAATCGACCATAAAAGCACTAATGTATCCTCGTCGATCCGTACACGGTACGAGGATTTTTGTGGGCACCCCACATCGTGGCACTGTTTGCTTAAAAGATATATGCATGAACAGTAGTTTCCGTCCAACATAGGCGCACCAAACCTCGCAGTCGAGCTCCTCCCCTATTTAGCAGCTCTATGACAAACCTAACCCTATCGACAGAGAAAAGAAAACCACATGCAAGATCGAGAGCCTATGAGCGTACATCCGCCAGGGCCACCCACCCACTCACCAACCTACCAGTGGCTCAGCGAATAAGCACGGCAATCATGCCGATATATTCACAGAACATGGGCGACAGGTCCTCATAGTCGCCGAATGTATGTTTCACTGCGTTTGCGTGTAGAGCGACAAGATCATCGACCCGGTCCATTTTGGCAAACGCACCTGATCTTTGATTACCAGCCGCCGTGCTTCCTATACAATATTCCGTGCAACTAGGCTGTGTGCCTCGGTGGTTTGTACACAATACAGCGGCCTACTTTGCACTACCAGAATATCTACGAGCAGTGCTCTCCATGGCGCCATCCCTGCATAGCTCAGGTGAGCCTCTTGAGCGTGTCGACAAGTTCGGACATGTCATTCTCGTTCTTGTAGACATCGAGGGCAGCAAACACGACGGCGTCCTTGCTACGGTATCTATCCATGATCACCACCGCCTGCGCCTCACTCATCACACCCACGCGCTCGAGCTGCTGGAGCAACTCCTGCAAATGTGAAAGAACGCGGGGTGCTGTTGTGCTGCTGCCATGTATAATTCGAAACACGAACAACGTCGTATCATGTGTGAGCTAACCACCAAATGCACATGATACCACGAACTCGGCTCGGAATCCCGTTGGTGCCGCTTTTTGGGTGGATCGTGTATTCTCGTTCACGTTGTTATGGCATCGCATATCCCTGAAAGGTGAACATCAGCCAGACTAGCTGCAGAAAGCAAGACACACCGCCGAGAGCGATTGGGGACAGCACAAAAAAACAGATGCTGCTGTACCACATTTATGCGTACCGCAGGAATATTGAAGTTTGCCCTCCGTGCACACTAAATGCTACGCTAAGCCGAATGGGCAGCTCGGCACCTGGAAGAGTCCTGCCTTGCCATCGAGCGTGAAATCGATGTTTCTTGTCTCTTCTCCCGAATTTGCAGTAGCAACGTCATTGTTGCTATCGCAGGAATTTTCGCCCATCGCCCTTGAGGCGTCAGGAACCTGGACAGGGGCAGTGAAGGCGAACTGCTAAGCTCAATCAGTCCCACCGAAAGGCCCGTTCACGGAGAAACACACACTAATTTGGGTTGTCGTCGCGGACAGATAAATACTCGAGTATGCATAAAACGATACAGTTCTGCAGCACACAAATTCAATGCAAACATCGCGCCATCCTCGAATGAATGTCGCGACTCCCCAACCCCCATAGGGGCCCTGCCTAGGCTACAAGCCTAATAGTTGGAGTCGGAAATACTGCACCGGCATTCGCGGAGTTACATCCCCTTAGCCTCGTCGTCGACAATGATGAATAATTACGTGGGTACCAACTGAGGCCAACGACATGGCCAGCAGACACTATCCGCAATACGTAGATATAACAGGCACCGGTGCCTCTAATAAAAGTCGGCGACGACTATTTGTGTGAGGGCATGGGAGACGAATGCGCCCGGAACGCCCCAACCTTGACCTCTGTCATGCAGGCACAGATGAAGAAATGTAAGGCCAGATGTATCACTGTTGTATGCATCATGACTAAGCAGGACCAGAATCCCTCCTTGTCTTGTCGGTAAAGGGCTCAGTATAGTTAAGTCACGTTGTATTCTTCCGATCAAGCAGGCGTTGCAACAAGCGGAAAAGGACCCACACAGAAAGTTACACGCTTGTCTTGCCTGTCCAGTCAGTCTAGACTCATGCTCGCGCTCCAGAACCAGCCTAGCCACTCTGGCAAACGTGTCTTCCAGCTCTTGAGCGTCCGAGTCCAGCCTTCGCAAACAAACATCAAGCGGCCATGTACCCCATGGGATGTTTTTCGATGAGACACGAGTTGAACCCGACAGGGCACACATACGCACATTTGGAAGCGCTTGAAAAAGTTGTCGTCCGATACATAGCAGGAGGCAGGAAGGTCACATCAACAGTGGTTCTCGTGCACGGTTGCATGTGCCACGAGAGATGAGAGTAGTGCCTGGCCAACATCGTCTAAGCACACGCGACAAAGAGAGTCGGAGAAAAGAGGCGAGCTAGGATAGAGTCAATGTGTTCCGTCTTGCCGCTCATAAAAGACGCCTGCTTTGCCGTGCAGACACTCCCATCACATACGGGGTCCAAGTATCAACTCGAAATACCATGATACTGCGCAGGGACAGACCAGCGTCACTCCAGAAACGCAAATTTCGTCCCGCGGCACGCCAACCAACCTAAAGAGCTCCAGGGCCCCTTTCATGTTGACGTCCCCATTGGCAATCGCTAGCCGAAGCGCGGCAGCTTCGCTCTCGTCGAGCCCCATGCCGTCCACGATGCTGACAACATTCTCTGCTACCACAGCATCAGCATCACTGCCTCCATCTTCGCCCATCTCAATGTTTGCTGCATTGTTTCCACTATCAAGCCTGGCGCTGCCATCACTGTCCTCGGAAGTTGCGGCATCATCATTGGCGTCAGGAAGGGGCTGCAAGATCTGTGTGAGGAGCTGCGATGAGTTGGAGCGGCCGCCATCTGGGTGCGCTTCCATGGTCAGCATCGCCGGAGCAATAGGCGGCGCACTAGATTGCAGGGCCGGCCAACGTCGGGAAGGGAGCGCGGCGGTACCAGAAGCATACGAAAAGTTCCCAAACACGAAGGGTAAGTCGTTGGCCATCGATGCTGCTGCTATTGCCATTGTCACTCTGTCAATACCCCGTTGTATATGCAAGGTGCTGATCCCAACCCTATTCGCGGGATATATTTTTTCCAATGCGTCGGCGGCATCTGTTGACAAGAGCTAGTACGGAAGCGCGGTTGATCAAAGTTGCAACAACCCAAAAAAATGAATCCAACGGCGAAAACCTTCGCAATGGACGAGACATGGCGGGGATGCAGCGAAGGGCATGGCAAGAATACCATGCCGCGGCGCAATTTCTGTACGACAAAATCTAGGCCATAACAGTCAGCAAACTTGCCACCTTGAACCCGTGTCTGTATCGTTACACTCACTCTTGCAGAATGGTCTTGATGGCTTCCACCAGAGAGGATACATCCTTGGACGAGTCAAACGCTTCGAAAGCCGCCAAAGAATTGGGGTCCTGTATTCGTAAGTATGCCAAAGTGAACAAAGTTGTTTGAGGTGGAGAAGCACCATTGTTCGTATACTACAGAGAGGAAACGGTAAGGCGACGCGCTTTCATGGAAGCGCAGCAACATATTGAAAACGCGGCAATAGCAACACCAGAAGCATGAGTCCTCGTGTTGCGTTCGTGCAGCATCGGAAGCCGCAGCCTATCACGCGGGCGACGACATGACGTCAGCCCTGAATGCGATGGGAAGTTGCGAGTCGCCGTAGGTTCCACGAGTAGAGCATCGTGAAAACCATGGTAGTAATTCTTGGAGTTTTGTAATCCAAATACCAAGCCCATTGTCGAAGCCTGGGATACACCACCAATGTGCCTCAAAACACATACCTCCTGAGCAAGAAGCAAGAGCAGCCGTGTAGCGTCGGAGGCTGTCAGCACCTTCGTATCGTGCATCAGGAGCACCACCCGCTCTCGCCGGCGCTGCTTCTCTTCTTGAGCGCGTGGTTCTTCCATTCCACCGACTTCTTGTTCGCCGCCTTGCGTTCCCACGATTGCCATGAGAGCACTCACCAATGCGCCAACATCCTGTACCTCGCCGAATTAACGCGAGAGAGACCACAGACGGTGCCGCACTCTTCATCCGCTTGGGGACTTCATGTTTGCACACACTCTAGAAGCATCAGAGCTGATACAGCAAGTTCAAGTTTGGCAATGGCAAAAAAAACACCGGACGTTGCTACATTCCCAAGGACAAATTCTGATACGCCTCGGCAAAGATCGTGGTTCACAGTATTCTCTACAATTACATTTGCACGGCCAGCGGCAGCCTCACGCCAGTAAGGAGGCATCACCACCTTGTGTGTGCAACTATCATCGGTGGCATCCTCGACTAGCCACACTATCATCACCTTCATGTCATAGTGGCCGCAAGGTATCGCGCAAGTAGGGAACCAAGACCGGACACTCTAAAAAGACAGCCGAAGGAGGCATCATGTTTGTTTCGAGACCCGGAGAAAACCCTCTGGCGCTTTTTGTCACATGGTACTCTACACACACCGTGGCGAGATTAACGAGTCTTAAAATGAGGTATCATCAGACACCAGGAGCTACCTGCGAAGCGGCGTAGTCCTCGTAGGCTTGAATTACTGGGGGGTATTTATTCTCGATCAGCTTGGCGAGCAAGGCCGCCTCTTGAGCACCGATGCTCTTGTCTCCGGCCATGCAGTCGGCCAGCTCCTGCACATGCCATGCCACGAGCACATAAGGGAAACGACAATGACGGCACCGCTTATCAGTTCTCGCTGGGCAGCACATAGCAGGTGCATACTCCAACAGCAGTGGCGGCTGAAATTTCTAGTCAGGTACATGTGGCGGTGTATACGTCATTTTCCAGCCACGGCCTACGGCTAGGCACAGGTTTTCTGGACAACGACAACAGGGTTTTATACGGCCTATGACGTTTGGCAGGTGTGCGAGTATCATTCAAGCATGATGGTTGTGTGTTTCCGAAGGAAGGAACTTGCGCTTTCCTTTCCTCTCCGCTACGTGCAAAATAGGCACGATGTAACTCATGACCGTGCTAGAGAAGGCACGCCTCACCATGAGCTCCACCATCGCCCTATCGTCGGAAACTTCGTTCTCATTCTCCTCTTGTCGTTCTCCATCCAATCTTTCCTCTCCATCTTGCTCACTGTTGTTCTCCTCTTCCTCTTCATCGTCCTCTTCCTCCTCCTCTTCCTCTTCCTCATCCTCGCCTTCCCGGTCTTTTCCGTTTCTTTGAGAACATACCGGACAAACAACAAGGTCACAAAACACTTTGACTTGATTAGACACTTGATTGAATTCCCCTTCCAATAGTGGGTGTATGGAAACCCAGCGGGGGGGACGGCGAATGTGTGGGATTCGTGTGAGTACCTGCGCAGCGTCAGGTTTAGGGTTGCGTTGCTCCAGTGTAAACTTTCCTCGCGAATACACTGGGCTTGGTTGTACCGTATTGTGCCGCGGCGCATTGGCTAATGGCTGCCGCGGCGACAAACAAGTTCAGTCACGACGTATCGGGCGGGCGAATACGATTCTTTCAAGCAGCGGGAGAAAGGTGCCGTGGGCTTTCTGCGTGTGGATTCTCGGCCATTCTTGAAATAGACTGCCGGGTGTGATTTTGGGTAACGATAAACCTTACCCTAACCCTAGCAGCTGCGTGACTGCGCCAAGCCTGGACTGACCTCTTGAGCATCTCCGCCTTCGCAATACCAGCAAACGCGTTCAGCAGCCTATCCCGGTTGGAGCTCCCCTGGAGTGAGAAGCAATGCCAAATGACATGAAAAAAATCAACGGGCGCATCCATACAACACAGCCCAACAAGACATGCTAAGCCATGCGCGGCAATGGGTCGGGAAAGAAAACGACACGGTACGTTGTCAGACAGACACGGTAAATCACGCTGCACTCTGACCGGAACGGGTCGGTCCTAAAGCGACAGGTTTCCTGGCCGACGGTAGCAACAGTGAGAAGGCGGAGAGTCCCTCGGCCGCCGTGGAGCTCATGAAGGACATGACAAGACGACGTTGGCAGCTCTATCCATAAAATCACTACACGGTGGAATGAGGGAATGCGACGAAATCCAAATATTCATACATATCCACGTGTGCTCACCTCGAATTCCTCCAGCGACTTCAGGATAGCTTGAGTGCAGCCGGGAGAGGGGGTCGCTAGACAGAGGGCCTCCTCACGAGAAACCTGAATGTGTTGCCAATGGCCGGCACGTGGGGTTATTAGGCACAGCCGTTTCTGAAGAAGAATATATGGTACGAAGCTCGATCGCAGGGAAAAATGGATGTCCTAGGTCCGCCCCGAGCAACCTGCCTTGACGAGCTGCGACGTGCACCGCGTCAAACAGAAACCGAGACGATGCTTGCTCGAGACGGGGCTGAGAGCATCAACTCCGACACTGTGTACACGTGGCGAAGTGAAATAGATTTGCGACCAAACGTTGCGCACGTGGGCGAGGTATTGCAGCGGTCACCTAAACCCGAACTTCAAGCAATCTGCCAACACTTCCTAAACAACCACCAACGCTGTGCGGTACATACTGGTTGCACCGGCTCATCGACCATGCGCCGAAAGAAGCCGGCCAGTGTTCACTCGCCTTGTTGCTTTGCAACAGAATTTGCGCTGATTGCGTGGCGATGGCATTCACAGCCGCCGACATGGACTTGCGAAGCTCTGCAGTCGACGCCACGGCGGCTCTCGCAGCACTCGTGCCAGACGACGGAACAGACGAGCGCGCATTCGCCGGCAAGGTCCTTGCACTGATGAGCGACAGGATTTGCGCAGAAGGTAGCAGAAATGATATAACAACCGAAATAGCGGCCTTGTTACCGGGTCCACCCGACGAGACAGCAGAGATGTACCTCACAGAACGAACCAGGCTCGTCTACTACGTATCCAATTCCTACAGTGGGGTCCTGCAGGCAGAATAAATTGAGTGGGGCAACATGCAGCACCGCGTTGCGCACCTGAACGGGTTGCTCATAGTCGTGGACAACGGGAATGGCGTGGTGCCAGCCACCAAACAGTAGCATAGCACACATTGACTCACGGTAGGAAGGGCCTGACAGCTAGCCGCGCGATGCGCACGAGAGAGTCTATGGCATCTTCTTCCCCCCCCCCTGTCGTGTATACGCCCCACGCAGCGTGCACCAAGTCCTGAAGCCGACCACTCTCGCCGTTCAAGCCGCTCTCAAAGGCTGCACAGATCACCTGCATGGTGTGAGGTAGCCAACGTTATCTCGAACCAGGCGTGGTCTCGCAACTTTGGCCAGCCCCTTGAAATCGGTGGCTGCAAGATTGATCCTTGAAGGTAACGTCGCCGTAAGCCCTATTAACCTCTCGGTAGGCCGGCTTACGAATCGTCGAGAGCAATATACGACTTACAACGCGCCCCATGTCTGCCCGTGCTGGATTCGAAAATACGGTTTGGGATGATACCACAGAATAACGCGACGTACTTCGTTCAGGAGCAGCTATCAATATTTCCGTGCTGTAACATTCCTTGGCGATGTGATCCTCACCCTTGCATCGCACATGTCCATCATATCCTTTTGCACCGCCAACGTTACAAGCCTCTGGAACTCCATGAGAGCCGCTGCCCGGTCCGCTCCTTCGCCCACGCCGTCCTCGTCCGCCGTAGTCGCACCAGAATCGCGTGTAGGTGCACCCACCCGGCAGGCCCGTCCACCTTTTCCCCGAGTATCATCGAGACCGGCGGCAGCAGCGCTTTCGGCAGCAGTGGCCGCTGCAGCGCTGGCTTTGCGAGTTACCTGCAGGCGTTGGGAGGACCCAGCGACCTGGCCGGCGTTTCCAGACTCCTGTTCACCTCGCGACCCTGACTGTCCTGCGACACGTCCCGTCTTCCACCCGAGAAGGAGAGAGATTGGGCGGGACGAAGCCGTGGTGTTGCTGTCCTCTTGATGTGGTCCGATTAAAACGACGAACGACTTTGGTGGTCAAACCCTTAACCAAGCGTTGACAAGCGAAAACGCCATGACCTGCTTCAACGTAACCAAATGATAACCTTCCCATGACATGTGACGGTGGCGGAACAACAGCCCCCAAGGGCGCCAACGTGTTTCGCCCGACCGAAGATTCGAGACGCAGCGATTCACAATGTGAGGGTAGCGAAAGGCCTAACCCGAACATGTCCAATGTCTTACTGGCATGACAGGAACCACTTGCAGTGATTCACAACATGTCGGCTGGAGTCAGCCCACTATGCAGGGTAGCATCAACAGGGCGCAGTACAAACCAGCCACCTCCGCGAAACAAAGGACCAGGCCAATACTCAAAGCCGAGCATGGTCACGGGTGATTCAAACGCCATGGTTTTGCCCCTGACTTCTGGCTGCAGACATACCTCGAAGCGAGCCGCACGGGCAACGGTATCGTACAGCTCCGCCGCTTTCCCATTCTCCCGAAAAAGCTGCAAATTCACCGAGAAATGCACGAGAGGAGAACGATCTTTCACTCGATGTGAGCAGCAGCATGAGCTAGTATGGGGCGACTGGTAGCACAGGGGAACAACAGCATCGCGAGGACTATCGAGATCAAATGTTGGGTCACGAGGACCCACATCAAATGTGTAGTGATTGGCAAATACCTAAAAATTTCCTTGAAGCCGACCCCAGTCCCTCAAGAAAGGCCTAGTCACTTGAGCGAGAGAGTCCTTCAGCAGAGACGTATTTACCGGTCCTCTCCCCCCACCAACTAAAGCGAAAAAGCCTATACCACCGCCGCCACCGACTGCGTTGTGCTTCACCTAATTCCTCGAGTATGCAAAAATACGCTCACAACCTTTCGTCCAGTTTCGAAGAACCGCGCGAAAGCAATAATCAACAAATGTCCACTGTCGTGCCGGGCATTCAGGCTGAACCACGAAGCACGGAAGTAACCCTTTTAGCTTCAACATCAAGTGCAGACGGAAGGGCGGTTTATGTGCACACCTTGAAAGCCGCGACCAGCACGGGGTTCTCTCTCGAGATCATTGTGTTCAGCACGCTCGCCTCCCGGGGTCCCAGCAGAGACTCGTTGGTGAGGTTAGTGGCTACTTTCAGGATGGTGGCCTGCATGGCATCGTGGTCTGCCTCCGTCTTCAAGACGTCATTGTCGTCGTTGTCGTCAGCAGCAGAGACTGCAGCAACAGCAGCTGGTTTCACGGCGCCGTCTTGAGCCCCGCACAGCTGAGGTTATTCAAAGACCAATAAAACCAAGACGGGGGTGCTGCTGATTTTGAGGCCTGACTGGGGCCCTACGGTTGTACTTGAAATTGCCCCGCATTTTGCAATCGGTGTGTACGACCCACAAGCACGTCTCCTCTCGTAGGTCGGCTGGTTCAGCACGATTCATGCCGTCAAATGGGATGAATAGAACCCGTTATTAAAGAGCCAGAATTTTTCGGGGATATCTACATGCCAACTGAACCACCCGCCGCGGCCGGCCGGCGTATGAGCAGCACGATATCCGCGGCACCAAACACAAGAACGCATGCCGTCTATTCCGTCTCCACGGACAAGCAAGCGTTGATTTGATGCGCATATACGATGGCGCAATTGTTCTTTCCTAAGGACCTACCTGTTTGAGCGACTCGGCCAAGCGCACAGGGTCTTGATCCTCTTCGTACACACCGAAAGCATCTGAAACAGCTTCGTTAGACACCAGGATCAGGTTCTGCAGGTACACGAGCTGTTCGTCGTCCACCTGCAAAGGAAAGGAAATAGCTTAGGCTTCAGCAATTCGTACACAAATGCTCTTCGCCGGAAGACGCATTTTATTGCCATTAGGACAAGAATAATCGACGATGAATAGCAGTAACAGCAGCAGCCGCAACAGCGACAACCACCAGACGGTCGAATTAATTATCACCCCAATGCAGCACCATTTCGACATGAGAAAAGTCCAGATTGTTTTTTATGCACCCATGGCCGTCTCGTTGCTCTAATCTAGCCCACCAGAGCTTGACAAGAAAAAAACATAGCGCATGGCACGGCGAATGACGTAAATGGCGCAAATTCGCTCCTTGGTGGTCTGAGCGGTTGCAGTGCTAGTTTCGGGGAATTAGATGCATGGCGACAGAATACAAGAGCACACAGAGTAACGTCGAATATGTAACACAGAGTAAGGATTGCGCGTGTATGGAGGGTGGTTGGTCGACGGACTTTGCACACAACGAGTTCACCGAGAAAATTATCGTCATCACGGAGGAAGAGAGTCGCATGAACCAGCTGCAACGACGCCGACTAACTCCGTCTCGAACGGTACCGATCGAACATTGGTATCACAAATCTCGCGGCTTCGAACAAATTATTGGTGTGTAGAGCAGATCGTGCTTAGGGCGAGAAAAACCCTCATATATCGGTACCGCAACAGCCCCGCATACCGTTTTTCAGGAACACCGCGGTGAGCCAGGTATATTGCGTAGACGACGTGTAGCAGGAGAAAGCGGCTATGCATTTAAGTCGCGTTGTTTCCACGCAACGAAAAGGTGGAGCAGGCAAGCACCATTGTGGCAGTAACAGTTAAAAAGTGGCAGAGTTAGTAACCACGATACCTCGTCGGCCTGCTGAAGCACCTCTACCATGTCCAGCATCTCTCGCTTCGCTTCCAGCAGTCGCATCCCCTGCTAGCAAAATCATCGCCACCACCCGCGAAAAAGCATTAATCGGCATCGTGTGTGCTATCATGTCACACGGCATTCACGCATGGATTTCGTACGCATGGGCGACACACACAACAAGGAAAACAGCGGACAGATGGATTCAAAGACAGAAGAAAACGTAGAGGCCGACACGCGCGATATATCTTGATTGATGCGCTATGCCCTGTACTGCACAGAAATGTGGGAGGCCGGACATGCATGGCGCTGCTGCCGATACACAGGAGTTCCCGCTTTCGTCGAAGGTTGCATGCTGTCGAATTCCTACTTGCACATGGGTCACTGAATTCATGCGGAGAAGGCAATTATGTGCTCATGTCACGCGGCAGATGAGTACGCCCTTGGGTTCGTCAAATCGTTTGGATTAACTGATACATATGTAAATAGCAAAACTGCACGGACACGTAAGTGGACGCACTACCACAACAGAGTACAGCTGAAGCAATGTTAGCAATACCTGTGGGCTGCCTCTTCTATTGCTTGCGATATCCTTGAACAGCGCCGACAGGTAGTCCACGTCTTGGCTACGTAAGGCCACGGCGAAAGCGGCGTTGATTACGGCATCCCCAGCCACAGCACTGTTCTCCAGGGCAGTTCGGTCGTCTTCCGCCAGCAAGCCCTGAAACACACACATGTAACGTTTAGTAGCAGCCCTTGTTGGATGCCTAGCGCAACCGCAAGTACATGGTGGAGTTGGGTCCAATCTGTAGGTATACATGGTACCACGATTTATGACGATATGGGCTGCTGATTTAGCACCCGATGTTTGATCGCGACCAAAGGCCAGGCTGTCAATCATGAATACGGACCTTTGTTGGGCACCACGGCATCTGTACGCAACCAATCGGCATGACTTTGCCCGTGCAGGTTCTGGGAAGAATTTCCCGGGAAGAAATTTTCCGGGAGACGAAGACGAGACACTCGGACAACCACCACACATTACATCTGTACAAGCGGCCTAGCGGCATCTTGGTGGGGATTTCTGTTGATATCGATTCATTCCCGTACAAGAAGAAATAACAAACCCAACATGAGAAATAACAAGAAGCGCAGGTAACAACCGATTCACAGCAGAGTATTTGAAGCAATACTCCAGGCCCTCCCGTAACGTGTCGTAGTCTGCCTACACACTAGAGCAGGGGGTCTTGTTGTCAACTTGACTATTCTCGACGGTGGATCCTACATTGAAAGTCATGCGACGGATGAACGCCACGATCCTCGCTTTATCGCCCATCCCCTTCGCTTCGCCGTCCTCATCCTCCTCGACATCCTCTTCCTCTTCGCCAGGCCTCCACCCCTGTTTTTCTGTTTCTCCCTCTGCCCCCCAAAGCGTCCCACAAGCTGACTTTTGACCACCTCCGGCGCCTACTCCGATTGCTTCAGCGGATGAGAATGCGGTGACAGAGATTGGTGAGGCGCCACCCAGTGGAGACCCTGTGCGAAAATGATCAAAAACCGATTTCCGATACAAACAACAAGCGACAGCCGGTTAGCGACAACTCTACGCTAGGGTGGACACGAATATTGCGCAGCCCGATTGCTTGACAACAAGCTCCTGAAGGATTTCAAAAGGTTTTACATAATGTCGATAGCAGTACACTGCCGCTAACTCCGAAACACCGAAAGATGCCCATGCAGCCAAAACACTTTTGCAGCATTGGAGTACGGTTGCAACGAACAATATACCCCGGGACATTGGTCGTACGATGAAACAAAGTGTCGGGAGTTGCCCTTATTCCTCGCCTTTGAACGATTGCACATCTGAGGTCTGACCGGGTCATGCGGAAACTACAAGTTGGCAGATCTACCATCTCTTGTCATGTTTCGGTAGTTCTGCACACAAATTTGTGCTGTGCGTCGGCGGACACGCAGACATGCATCGACCAATCTTGTACAGAGCCCATGGACTCGTCCAGGCGGCACAACATGGGAGAAGAAGTCTCCAAAACGAACGCTTTCCTTTCTTCTGGGAAACGTGTTATTCCACTTCCCCAGTTTTGCCGCCACACATAACTACGTCAAGACCTTTGACACCGCTTGTGCACTTCACGCAGACCACGGTTTGCTTTGATACCTGCAAGAGGCTGCAACGCTTTCGCATACTACCAGGTTGGGGGTGCAGGCGGACGAATATCAGGCCCGCACAATCTAAAACCCAGTGACGAAGCCCAGTCTGGGCATCAAACATCACGCGTCTTTGGTTCCACATCAGCAATGCCAATCTTTAGGCAAAGGTAACCTGTAGGGCCGGAAAAGACAGGATACCCATCCCAACCGTCGCACGAGGGAATATCCAAAACGCAGTATTTGAGCAGCACACCCTTCAGTCTACTGATACAATTCATGTGACGAAGCACATCAGGATTTCAGCGCCCAGGTTCGGGTCGAACGAGAGCCCACAGCCATATCTCTACTTCCGGTGAACGTTTAAACGACGTCACAAATCCTCTAGATCAGGTTGGAAAATTCCGGTTCTTCATGATAGCTGGAGCTGTTGACAAACGGCCATGTGTTCAGAGAGAAACACACAACCCAGGGGCGGCTACAAGAGAACAAGCGGGCGATTGGACTGAAGGGCGTACCACATGCGGGACGAAATGCACCCACGTGTTTTCTGTCGTCAGGAAAGAAATAACACACTGTACCTTGGGTTGGAGTCGAGGGTATTCCGGGATGACTTTTGTTCCTCTTCCAGGAGACTTCCTTGTCACTCAAGAGTAGGGAATAGCTGCGATCCCCGAGCATCTGCCAGGCATCAGGCACCGGTCATCTGACGTTCATCTACAGTGCAGCCTTGGTCTATTCACTCACGAGTGAATCCAAGTACCAACAGCACTGCCGTTGGCATAGCTGACAGGTGGTGTGAAGCTTACGAGAATATCACATTCTTTGTAGAGAAGACAGGCCTTGGGTGCCATGCGTTGAGCCGCCAGAACGCTGTCAACAGAACCGTGTCAGGGGTGCGTCGAGGACAACTTCACGCGTAACCTGATTGCTAGTATCTGTCGTTGAGCGCGTGACCACGACCTCAAGAACGCACCGCAGCACAGCAAAGCGTAGCACGCAGCAGAGGATGCGTTGGCAAACCAGGCTCGGGAAGCGGAACCATGCGCTTGTTTGAAACGATACCCATTGCTTGGTTTTCTCGGCATTTACCCGTCATATTAGTTCCCCCCTTCCCTGGTACCTCTTCCTCCCCTGTCTGGGTGACTAGATCAGTTGACACATAACGATCACCCCCGGCCCGCGACCAACTCCAGTATCAGTTCTGCCGCGGATTGGGAATCCGTCGTACCGCAGGCGGGTCCTCGCTTGGTGTTTTTTTCTTAACCGTCTATCCTGGCGCCAGTCTACACCTTTTGGTATATACTTCATGGGACCGATCTCATGGGTCAGCCGATGGTCACACACAGGGTAGAAACTAAACCAGCTATTCTTTGTTCTTCACCCTTATGTCCCACCGCACCCCCGGTGGTGCCTTCGATTTCTTACGCGAGGGACAAGCAGTCAGTCCCTACCCTTTTTGTGCATACTGCTGTACCCCCGAACTATGTAGTTAATCGCTTACCGCCGCAGAAGTGTACTTTTCTCTCTCCCGAGAGAGATATACACCCACACTGCTGCAACATGTAGTTGGTTTACGAGGTCACCCACTCTACGGTATCCACAATGTATCTTGGTGGATCTAGATCACGGAGTACCAATGCCCTATTGCTACAACTGGAGTTGATTGATACACGTGGTATCAGTATAGCACCAAAAGGAGATTTACCTCTGGTGAATCACCAGTGACAACAAACAAGCCGAGAACCCACACGTCCTAGACATAGGCCCGATATCAAGGCATCGGTAGCTAAAGCAGTGTGCACGAGGGTTGGAGCTCACTTGGATATACAGCAGTACACAGATACGGCGGTTGCGGCTTACAATCAACTTTGCAGGCGAGTGCAGCAACACACCAGTCTACCCGTCAAGGATGAAAACGACTATATATCAATCTTCCATGTGTACCTGCGGCGCTCGGCAGGCCAAGGACAAGGGTACGACGACTCCGTGCTCGTGTTTCAGTCCAGAGTCATCGGAAGCGGGGGCTAGGAGGCCCACGACATGCTGTCGCAGCTCGAATGCTGCCTGAAGCAGGCTGTTTCACCCGAGAGAGAGACAGACGCCGAGGGCAAAGAAAAATGGTACATAGTGTTCGTAGACATGTCTTGCTAGCCATGATTCTCGAGTCCGAATCCGCAAACGGTGTTACCAATCAATCCCTCCCCCCGGCCCCCACCCCCCCTCTCCTTCTCTCTCTAGCTCTCCGAAGATGAAACGTTAGCTTAATCCCACCGACGGCCTTGGTACGGATCCGTGAAGGAATGCGACTGGTGTGGTATGTACACTTGTCTACAGGGTGTAGAGGGCAGTGTGTCCGCGCTTACCGTGAAAGTTCTGTTGGATTCAATCCGTTGAAAAGAGCTACGAAGTGGGCATGCTCTCCGTGTGTAACCCGAACAACCTTGGCTTGGTCCATATAGTGGGTTAGCCCCTTCCCTCTGTCCGCGCCGGCGGACGGAGGCACGTGACGTGTGTGGAGAAAGCAACTACCATCTACATCGGAGCTCGCACGAGAGAGAGTCGTTTTTGGCTGACCAATCACAGTAATATGCGGCGGGATAGCTTCTCGGGAAAACAGTAGAAACAACAGGCATGCGTCGCGTGAGCAGCAGCAGCAGGTGAGCAACGCCAAACACTAGACGCCCAAACACGCATTTTGTGTCTCTCTTGCCCACCGCAGCGCCATGGAAATCTACATCTTGGCAGGACAGTCAAACATGGCTGGGCGAGGCAACTGTGAAGAGTTGCCGGCCCGGTACCAGTCCAACGATAATGGTGAGTGCAAGCAGCTGCATGTTTGCCAATGCGTGCAACATGTCTGTACCTCCTGATGCCTTGCGACCTCAGGAGGGGGAGGTCCTGCCTGTTGAGGGTTCGGAAACGGCTTCATCGTGCGGCCGTCGGTGCTCCGTATGTATTGTTAAAGAGCCTGAAGATACTCCTCGACGGGGACGAACTCCTGCACGGGCCCGCCTTGCGGTACTTTTCCAAACTCCCTCGTACATTCCAAATCTCACGCATTACCCTTACGTTCCAAATCTCACGGGGTTGTCAGTTCTGCTGTACAGTGTACAGTAGTACGAGGCCGGAGTGGGGGCCTTCCACGTCCTCGGGATTGCCGTGGGGGGATGCCATGAATGTACGAGGGAAGGGGTGTAAAAGGCCGCAAACCAGAGGGACCCTTATTGCATGACTGACTCGCGGGAAAGTGTTGTATACATACCCTCAAGTACAGCAGCTCAACTGCTGTTTACGAAAAATAAGAACAAAGGACTAGAGTACTACTGTAAGAAAATACAGCTCAATCTCAGCCACAATGTAAGAAACGTCCCAATAAGAAACATGATCGATCGTGCGATACCCCATTACATACTCCGAGTACGAGACAACTGTTGCTGGGGGAGTGTGTCCAACAAGAAACGTCCCACCAACCACCCCCATACCGAGCTGAACAGCAGTGTTTTTTTTCTTACGAGGGGGAGAAGAGTGATTATTGTCGCGGGTCCCCACGCCTCCGAGCTAGCTACTCCGCGCCTCCGCCGGCTGCTTTCCCGCTGCTGCATGAGTTTTGGTGTTTTTTTGTATTCTTAGCCAGAAACAACAAAAAAGAAATAAGAGAATCAGGAGGATGCGAATAAGAAACGCGTTGTAAGCAAACGAATGACTTCGGCTGGTCCTTCGACCCAAAGTATGGGATTGAGCCTCGACCCGATTTTAACGTTTCTTATCTCCGGGCCCGTACTGTATGCATAGTCTACATGTATATGCATTGCCTACGGTTGGGGCGAGGTAATCAGCCGCGTGGTACGTTAGCAATAGCGATCGACACCAACTGCTGTAGTCTAGACTACAGCGCTTACTCTGCGATGCTCGTTGACAGTATGTAGCATACCGTACCAGTAGAGCGAGGAGCCCCGCCCACACAGCGCGCCTTGGTGTAGCTAGGTGCACAAGGCACAGACGTGCGGCGAGCGCGAAGAGGTGCGCTTCTGTGCCGGGGGGAGACGGCCCCTGTTGGTTCGTACACAAGAAGAAAAGTGAACAATCGTTAGTCAGCGGAAATATTCACACTACACAGACAGCAACACGCTGCCAAGCACCGGCCCCTGAGCCCCGCCGTGAACACATGTGGCTCCAAGCCAATACGGGTAAATACGTAGTTTGTTTTTCTGTTGATGCCACGCACTGGCGAAGAACTTCATTTTCACCTCACTTGGCATAATTCAAACTCGCGTTTCTAGTTCCTTGGTACAGTGAAGGGCCCTCAATAACGCCGGCACGTGCCCGGCGCATCGACCGGCGCTATTCAGAGGAACCGCGCTGTTCAATGCACAGAATGACTTGGTGATTCAGGCTGCGCTCGGCAATTTCACCGGCGCTATACAGGGCCGTCGGCACTAATTAACCGGCAATATTGACGCCCCCCCCTGCTGTACTTCGTGTTTATTTGGCTATTCCTGTCCGGAACCATGGTTCAGGAATATCCACGGAAGTGTCGTTGGTATTTCAAACTCTGCTCCCGTTATCTTGGCGCGGAAAGAATCCGATAAATGGCTGTTCCGTGGTTAATGTTCCACAAATACGACGTCTACTGTATTCCGACTGTGTGCACACCTTGGTGTGCGCGCACACATATACACCACTGCGACACACTCCACACGGCACGTTGTTGTAGAGGAAGAAAAATTCGAGACACGGGTGACCTACATAACCACTACCTGCTGCCAGTGAACTGGGGTGAATACGCACGTCTGCGCATAGGCTATGGTGTGGGTGGGATGTGTTTCAACGAAAAGGTAGAGCGACCGACACACACAGGCACAGCGAGCGTGCGCCTTTCCTTCTCTCCGACTGGGCAGCTGAAGTACCGCATGCACGTATTCTGGACGGACAACAAGACACGCGGCGCACTGTAGCAGACACAACACAGACGAGGCACACACCACCTGCGACTTTCAGGAGATCCCTCTCGCGGTAGTTGCTTATACTGGTGACACAATAACGAAGCCTCGATGAACCCCTGGCCGAAACATGCAGCCGATTTTGGAGCAAGAGAGAGGATATGGATGAAAGAGAGACTCATGAGGAGGACTTCTTGCGTGCTCACGGTGCCCGAAGAGGTCCGGGGCTGCGGGTCTACAAGAGATTGTCCTCGCCCCGTGGGTTGAGGGCTTGGGTCCGTTCTCTGTCGTTCTTTGCCTTTGGCCGAGATTGTCAGCTGCTACTACAGTACATGCAGATGGAAGAAGCGGCTGACGGGTGGAGCCGTTGGGTTTCTAGGCGGAGTGTTGGTTGCTGTGCTGCTGTTGCTCATCATCGGCGATATCTCACGCAGGAGGAGGGGCGGAACCACCTCCGAAGTAGAAGCCACACTGGCTTGCATGCACGGTAGCTGTTCGCGGTAGCAGCCGGGGGCTGTTTCGGCACCGGTGTGTGTTGTACCCTCGTGCGAGCTACCTTCCCTCACGGGTGGAGGTACAAAACGCTAAGGGTCCTTCCCGGATAACTTTGTAATCAGGCCAAAACACCCCTCTGAATATTTATGTCGGAGCAAAGATCCACCCCGAAATTCCCGAACCATGCTCCACAAGGGGGTTTAGCATACTCTTTGTCGCACCCCACTTTCCCGTTGGTTCCAAGTCCTGTAGTCGTCACGGACACACATACGCGAATCGTCGTGATTTCCAAAGTGATCAGAATACATCGTTAGGTTTGGGTGGCGCCTATCGATTGCTGCGGTCGGCCTCAACTGTCGACCCTAGATCTGGGATGTGCTAGAAGATTCGTTTGTCGTTGACGCTACCCAAGAAGAAACGTAAGCCGAGGTTCCCTGGTGCGCATAGTGCAGGGTCAAAGTTTAACTTGATGTATGCATTAGAGACACCCGGCTTCTCCCGCTTGCACGTGAGCGCTCCGTGAAATATATTTTGTTACCTCTGTAAGTACTCTGGACGCGGGGACCTACTGCCCTCAACCTCCTCAGTCCTTAGCAATGAGTATTTCGTGTTGTACGCGCGGGATGTGCCTCATAAAATGATGAATTCGTCAACAAATAATGGTTGAAAAGTTCGTGGACAAAATTCGTCCTCGTGTTTTGAAAACGGTGTTGTGGGTAGTGAACGTTTTTTTCCCTGCAGATATATGCTGTAAGCAATCGTCAACAACGGCGTTGTCAAATGTCGGAAACGAGCTTGTGTCGAATAAGGCGGCACAACTCTATCGTCACGAAATCATACCACCTAGAGCGAGGACAGTCCCTCCCTACAGAAAGAATGGAACGCAGTGCTTCACTAAAAACTGCGTCACAAACAAAAGTACTTGAGAAAAATCTACCCCCCAGGCGGAATCGGGGCATTGTCATCGTCCGCACACTGTACTGTACTCAGTAGTTTTTGCCGACCAGATGAACCCTACGCCACGCCCGGGAGGATGAGGAGGACATTACCCAGCAAACACCAGCAAACTTACTCGAAGCACATTACAACGATTTCTATGCAAGAACATGAGTCCATGGTGTCCTGGGCAGCACTTTCTCCACGCTCTTCTTCTACAATGGCTTAAAGTTTTTTGTCGGGTATGTCACCAGCGAGGCAGGCATCCCTCTCTCATCCAGAACCTTGGCTGTTGGACGATTACGAGTGTTTCGCCTTGTGTCTGCCTCGGATACCAGCTACTTTCATGCAGAAACGTTCACGCATGTGCTCATCGCTAAATACCGTTCACCACCATGCAGTGATGTGCTTCAACGCGAGAGGGGACTGGAGACCAGCGGTCGAGCCACTACATCGAGACATTGATCTTCGCAAACAACACCGCTGTGGAGTTGGCCCGTCCCTGGTAAGGATCTTAACTCTATGTACGCTACCAGCAACCGCCGAAAGAAACGAGCTGGCGTGAATGCGGTGAATATGTAGGTAAAGATACCGTGAGATAGTGCGACAACATTGAGAAGGGATGATCCAGTCAAGCGCTGTGTTGTTTTATCATGGTCGTTGTAGTAGCAGCAGCTGTGGCAACAACTGCGGTAGAAGCAGCGAACAACAACGTGAGACTTCTCGTTGTGGACTATGTAGCCCGCAGACCTTTCGAACGTATGTAGATGTGAGTTGGCGCTGAACGTTACCACCAGAACATAGTTTTGCTTGCGTTGTAGATGTTGACTATCGGGCAGAATGGCATCAATCGAATGCCTTCGCCTCTCATCCCTCTTGTTCACCTCACTCCCCCCAAAGGTTTGCGTCTGTGCTTTGCTCGAGCTCCGGAAGGCCTATTCGTCGCGGTCTCCTCAGAGCCCAACCATCGGGCTCGTGCCGTGCGCCATTGGGGGTGCATCGCTAGATGAGTGGCAGAAAAGTTACGAAGGTGGGACCCGTAGAACTTCTGCGCGGAGTTGGTTCACTAGTTTTGTCCCGTAGGAAGCGAACACACTCGATTGGTACGAAATCTTGACGCAGGAGCTGCTGTCGTCTTTCCTGCCCCGCAGGTGGTGGTTGCAAATTTGTTCACCACCGGTTAGCCCGCCTTCAAACATGAGGCCAGGTCAACGGACTCGGGGTGAAGTGGGGCTTGCATCGTCTACACTCTCTAAAGGGTGCAAAGATACACTTTAAACAGGCGTGGCACCACGAGATGTTCCGTACAAACCGTGGATAATTTATCAAGACTCGACCTCGCCCAACATATTTTGTTTGAGAATGCTTCGGTTCCGATGTATCGTAATCTACCAGACCGCGACCTGTTGCTGTCCCAGCGCAGTAAGTTAGCCGGCCTCTGCCCCTATTTCGCATGCTAGTCACGATACTGTCGCTTGCTTGGCCATCCACAGGCGAAGTAGGTGATTGTGAGCTACCTACACGACACGGTGAGGTCCAGGGAAACCAGCCTTGGGGGTATAAACCAGGCTCGAAAAATTTGTTCGGAGCGATGTCGGCGAGGGTCGACGAAGCATTGAAGGCGGCGCCGGAAGGTAGCCATCTTGGTGGCATGCTCTGGTACCAGGTAAGCAGGAGGACGTTCTCAGACTGCTGTGATGGTATTTGGCAATATGGGACCCACGCGGCCATATTGTGCATCTCGGGCCTTGCACCTACGGGAAGTGCAGATTCACGGGATTTGCGGAACCACACCTCGCGTGATACGTAGTTTTATCCCGGGGAAGATGATCGCTCTGCTTTGGCACGAACGAGCTTCCGCGCTGCAGCGCCGATACGCATCGTGCGCTAGAGGAATTTCGGTTGGAGGCACTGGTGGGGAGATCCTTGACCACTAGAGTAGTACATATTGACGAGAATGGTGCAGGTCCGTCTCACGCGCCCAGCATAGGCACAGCAGTCCTTTCGAGTGTGTCTCACAGCACGGTGATGGCACCACTGCGGCCACGGGGTATCCAGCGATTTTCTCTGCGTGCATTCGTTGTGCGGGAGCCGAAACATACATCTTCCGAACTTGGAGAGAAGGAGATTTGGAGGTGTGGGTGCGGCAGTCGTGTTGTGTCCATCCGGCGGGCCGGGAGCGTGGCATATCGTCATTGTTGCGAGAACTGGAACACGGTTGGCAGCGGGCGGCAGAGACGTGGCAGTTGGGGTCGGCGCAAGGCATGTCGGAGGGAAGATCGAGGAATAGCAGCTTGTCAGCTGTCTTGATTGTCCGGGTCCTTTTCGCAGAGCCCATAGCCTGTACTTGAAGGGGCCTGCCCAATTGAGAGAGGGTTTCACTCTTAGGACATGTGCATCGCAAAGTGAGTTGTTACCTCGCTTCCGCTCCTGGCCTAGTAGACAGCGCTAGTTCGTGTGTACACAGAGGGAAGAGAGTGCTGAACTCTTCTCGCATACAAAATCGAAGGCACAGTACCGCAGGAGGGGAGGGTAGAGAGGGGCTCTTCTGTGTGACCACGGTTGGAGTAAACGGCACTAGTGCTGTGAGGGCTGATTTGAAGTGAAGACAAAAAAAAAAGCGCTCGTCGCGACTTCGCGAACTCAAAGTAGGGGAATTAGGAGCAACTGCAGCCCTCCATCCGGGAGGACGGTTTTGGGACAACCCCAAAGAGGGATATGATTGTTAACTAACATGTCTGCAGTGCCTTCAGATGTAAAGTTGGCATCAAACACGGCACACATGTGGGCCCGACGGCTGAAGCGATGGGTGAACAGTAGAGTGTAGGCGTTGCCTCACGGCGGCACGCCTGGTCCAGCGGGAAGAGGTATGGAGAGGATGGGCCAGCACACAGTGTGACGCGATGTTTTTCGAGCTTGACACTTGAGGGAATGACGAGAGCTACCGGCGAGTGCAGACGCTCATGCCGAGCCACCAATAGAAGTTATCTAGTAAAGCGAAGATGCGGGAAGTCCTGAGATGGCATAAGGAGTTAGCGTGGCAGTTTTGATGATCCAAGGGCGCATGATAATCAGGACATTGCATTATTTTTGGCATGCCGTTCAATAGATGGGCTAGTCGTTCTGACGACGGTCGCACTGAAGAAGATGCTGCAGAAATGGGCAGGTCGTTGTAGGTTGCTGTGCTACTGTAAAATATAATTGTGGCTCTTATGAGTGAAGACGCGGCTCCTGTCGGCTAGCTCGCGGGTTTCCGAGAAGAAAGGGCGTTGGTGTGTCGGCGTACCACGAAAACTATTCTCCCTGAGAGTTGACGGCTTGTCGAGAATCACGTATTGCATGAGGTGCCGGCATGCAGCTTCGTATTGATGCTCGCGATGCGAGTCAGTTGTGATGATATTGGGCAGAGCGGTACGCACCCGACCATTGCATGTATGTAGCAGATATCGAACGTGGGTATTCTCTCTCTTGGATTCCCTCGAAACCACGTTGGTTTTAGCTTTTGTCGCTTCGCTCGCTTGCGTGGTGACCACTCAATAGCACGGGACACATTGCCCGGGCTATCTCAACAACTAAATTTCAACTGACAATATACTTCAAGAGTAAATTCGCGTGGATCCCGGGCTACTCGCTTACGTGGGCACGAAAGCAGATGTACCCGCCCCATGATGATGTCCATATCCTTGAACACAAGATATGTTGCATCGTGCTGCTTGCACTTGTAGCGCCGACTTTAACCCTGAAAATATCGATGGACACGTTGTTGTGCTCTCGGTACTTTCTAAGACTTCAGTTTGAGTACAATTTTATTGATACTTTGCTGAAGCAATTCGCTCGGACCACGCAAGCGGTGATTTGGAGAGTCTCCGATTACTACATCGTGTGCGTATTCGCGCCCGTATTCCTGTGTCCTTGGCAATTCTTCTAGAATATTCTCGCTTGGCTCGTGACTGCTTTCGTTCTGCTGGTTTTCGACGACGGCAGGGTGAAACGGATGCGGCGAAAGAGGACCGTGCTGAAACGTACGGCGATCGCTTTCAGACGCTGATCGAGGACGTCAGGGGCTTGGGATATCCGGATCTGAACATATTTACGGTTGCTGTCACCGGCACGACAGCCCGTCTTCCATACCTCCAACAGGTGCACCCTTGTCTGGCGTTGCTGACGATCTGATTACTTCACCTGCACTGCTTGAGACAACTATCCGCACTGTATTGTACTCTTCGTCTTTGCGAAGATGGTTTTCCTCGTGTTGAAGTATTCTCTTTTGGAAGGACTCGAATCACAATTCGTACGTCACTTTATGAACTGAACTCAAATTGCCCCATGTGCCTCAGCAACAGAGATGGAAAAAAGAGCAGAGAACCTGTGAAGCAGCGCAACAACCCAACGACCCGCCGTTTGGCAGTTACCAGTTGCTGCTGTGACGTGGCCACACCACATGCGAGCTAACCTGCTAGTGATGCGCAAGCCAAACACAAACATCGCGCCTGCTAGTATTGTCTGTGCTGTGAGATGCTGAATCGAGCACATGGAACCGAAGGCCGCTACTTACTCTGTGCGTATGTATGAGATTCTACAACATTCGGGAGTGTACCCTACACCGTAGACACCCCGATATTTTGTCAAATTCAGCCATGTGCAACAACGATGTGCAGCCACCGTCCGTGGGATTTGTGCTCTCTCTCTCTCTTTCTCTCTCTCTCTCTCTCTCTCTCTCTCCCTGTCTCCCTGTCTCCCTGTCTGTCTGTCTGTCTCTGTCTCTCTCTAACGCGGTGCGGGACGGCGTGTGGGGTGTGTGGGATTGGGGCCACACGGGCTAGCGCCGTGTGTGCGAGTCCACCTCGTTTCGAGAACTTGGGTTCCGTACCACCCGAAGACGGATTTGAAAGTAACCAGTCTATCCGGGATTGAGCCAGACAATTATATGTAATAAGTGGACCGGCGGAAAATCTTTTATCACTGCATCAAAGAAAACACTCTTTTAATCGTTCCGTCTTAGAACTGAAAATGAACCGTTCTTGAGATCCGATCGTTCTTTAAAGAAACAAATCCATACCATCTTCTCTTCACGTATCGAACACAACTCTTTCACCGCCCTGACGTGTCAAGGGTGTCGATGACCTTTGCCCCAAGAATGTTGTGTTGAGGTTGATGGTTTCCGAAGTTTCACAATCGTTAATTTAGTCATTGAGCCGCGCCAACCCCCAGGTGGAAAGGACCCCAGGCAGGGATCCAGGTTTCTTGTTTGTGCACACTTTCACTCGAGGCCCTCCCATTCCTACCTTCGTTGTTTTATTTCGAGTTGCTTCATCATTATCGGTTTCTAGATCACCAAGGGTGGAGAGAGAGAAAAAGGGGGTAAGAACCGGCGCTAGAAACACCCCAACCTCGCGCCTCATTCCCCCATCCTAAACCTGTCTCTCTCTTTCTCTCTGCTCGCAAGTCAACTATTGTATCCAGCAGGGGACTCCGACTACTGCTACTGCACGCGGGGGTCTGGAATGACCAAGTCCCCAAATGGTACTCGACCATTCAACCACGTCATCCACAATATACCCCTAACAAATTCTAGATACCTAGCCAAAGGAAATAAGGGATTCATGCCACTTCCGTTCCCCCACCTTCGAAAGAAAAGGGGTGGGTTGGCGGGAAAAGACCCTACTTCCTGTGGCCACCTGTCTGTGTTGGCCAGTGCCTCAATCCTTCGGCGTGCTCACGTACTCCGAAGTCCTCTCTCGCGCTCACGAGCGCAACAACCGACGACTACGGCACACGTGTGCTCTCTCCATTGGTGTCCAAAGATTCGGGGGGCACGCGAAATGCGCTCTACATGTATGTGGCCCCGGTTTTCCAACAAAGATTGCATTCCAACTCTTGCGTTCCAGCAACAAACGTCAGTTTATTCCGTTTCCGACAACAAACTTAGCTTTTAATACCTCAACGAAACCATAGCTGACAAACCATGTTTTCCTCAAGCTTTCCCCAGAAACGTTCCTTGTCTGCCCAGTCCTCCATAAGAAAACCAACAATTCGCCAGCATCAAGATGCTCCGTGTCGTTCCACCTGTACTACACGCCAATATCAACGCCGTAACATACTCCAGCCCCGCCCAAAAATGAACCTCAACTCCAGCGTGACTGTTTGAAACCCAAGGAATAAATACCCTCAACTGACCGCGTGTCTGAATCTGTATTTGGCGCGGCACGCGGTTGTGTAGTGTGCCGCAGAGAGACGAGCGATTGTTATTTTCACGTGTGTTTTCTTTCCTGATGTCCTGATTTGTGTTCTCTCGTGGGCATCGTTCCTGTCTAGTAGGTTCGAGATGCGCAACTTTTTGCGGGGTCTTCGACGGGAATCGCTGGCGTATGGGTTACGGATACCTTTGGCCTACCCATGTTTCCTGATGGGTTGCATTTGGTGACCAAAGCACAGGTGAGTCCTCCGCTCTGCTTGTGCCCCGTGTGACTCCCAATGCCAACTGAAACTGTTGTGCACACTTACAGGAATGGTCTTTGTTGCTCTTGCTCCTGGATCGTTGTCCGGGCGTTCATAGAAACATGGCGGCTTCACCCACTTTCGCCCTCGATCCGAGGGGATAGACTGCAGTTTCGGCTGACGACAATAATGACACATGCCCCGTCGATGCTCCGTGCTTCCTATGGGAAATACAGCGCCTTGAAGCTGCGGTTCCGGCTTCTCCCCTATACCAGGACAGGCCGCGCGCGAGCTTGAGCTAGCATGTTACCTGAAAAAATTATCCTGTACCCCGCGACTGCGTGAAGGTAGAACTGGGCGAACGTATGGCTCTTCAGATCTTCACCGCAACGGCAGCCAGTGCGCCAGAAAGGGAGAATGCTCGAGCCGCAACAGATGACCCAACCAGGGGTTGGGCCATAGAAGATGCAAGGGTTAGCAACGCCGAGAACGACTTGAGCTGCATAGTTGCAGCGACGAAATCCAAGAGCGCAAGCAAGGATGGAACCATTTCACAGGTGCGGACGTCCCGAGACGTATGCTAAAATCAATTACCATTGACTACTGCTCTGCGCACCATTTGTTGCCGTCCTCGTTTGGACGTTCGCCCTCCGTCACGCAAGGCAACGGGTTCGCACATTCGCTTTCCACCGAGTGCACTGAAGTTTGACACATTATGCCGCCGTTCGTCGAAGTAAAATACTGCAACGAAGCTTCTTGGACCATGTCTTTGGCGAGAGGCTCTTACTCTAGTCACCCCCCAGCCTTGGCTCATGAGCCTAGTTGGGTTATCACAATTCTGAAGCTGTAAGCTTCAACCTCTCCGACCTAAATTCAACTTTGTCGCAAACCGACCGACCCTCTTATTCCGATTCCCCCACCGTTTCTCAAAAGCCGATCTCGACCTATGGCGCACGGTTTGTAACATCTCGAGTATGCCTCGATAGGGCGTCCGAAATCATGGCCAGTCGCCAAGTTTGTTCGATTTCCGGATGTAGTAGCGTACGTCACAAGTGTGCAGCCATGTACGACCGTGCGCGCTGATTTCTGTCGCTCATTGTTTGTCACCTTGTTGAATGGCCTGTTTTAAAAATGTTGAATCTCATCGAGGGATTCAGATGAATGGATTCATTCGTTGCGAAAGTCTATGCCCACAAAATTGTGAAATATCAAACGTACATCAGAACCCAAACGGCATTATCATAACCACAGAAGATGTTCCTCTTCGTTGGATAGTTTTTTTATGCCTTTTGAGGTATATACTTTTTTGCGCAACCAATGTATTTTTTAGCGATATGTTTCCTTCGGGTACTTGACCTGTGGCCACGCTTAGAAGGTATGTGACTGACTGGCTGAGCAGCGACCGGGACGACTGTCTACAATGTCACCACAGCGAATGGTGACGGGCGAATCACCATACCCTTTCTCTTCCACAGACAAGAGTCCGCGGTTGATTAGCAACGGGATTATCTAGTCCGCGGTTGTTCCACAAGCATCCGTAGTTTCTTTTTTTGTTTCCATCCGCCATCGGGTCGTGATGTGTCCACAACGCAGTGCGCTCAGCCAGCAGCTAATTAAACCCGCTCAAAAATATGTCAGCTTCAGACAGGCAACGCCGACGATGCTCGTCGCGGTGATTTATCACATCGGAACCATGGCTTTGCCTCAAAATCAAACGCAACATCTCAAGCAAGGAAAAGAGCCAAATAGAGCTGCTCTTGGTATTTAGCTCTTTGGGACTTGCCAAGACCCCGAAACGTTGTTTTTTGTTTTCGTTTTGGAAGTGGAGAATGTTCGCACAAAGTTTGATGATGAAGTTCAGTTTGTAAAACGGAGCGTATGTTACAACCGGTCGCGCCGACGGTTCAGTTGGTAACCTTCTGGCGCTCAGATTGTGGGTTCGATTCTCTCTGGAGTGAAACGTGAACAATTTAGGATTGGAAATCATATAGTCGAGTACACATAAATACGGAGAAGGAACTGTTGAGCCGCTCTCACATTGACTCTTGGAGGGAAGCATGACAGCGAGAAAGGTGGAGAGGAAAAAACTTTTTGTGTTCAACTTCCTTTTATGTGATCCCAGCTGGCACGTCAAAGGTTTACCGAAAGACGTAGATTGGTAAGAAGAATAGATGGGACGAAAACACAACCACATGTTCGGACGAGGGCACGTGTGAAGCAATGATATTTTTGGTGTGTGTGTTGCTCTTTCTTTGACTCTTCTGGCTGCTCATTCGAGAACTGCTTTGTCTGGGGAGTGTGCGCATATCGCATTGGGAGGTGTACACTGTACATCGATACCTTGGCTTGAGCTGGGCTTGAAAGCATTCCTTTGTTTCCTGTCCTCGGATGTTTGCATCAGCAATGGCTTCCTAGGTTCGGGCGAGGGTATTTGCCAAGCATTCGGTGTGTGTTTCCCAAAGGGAGTGTCATAGCGATTCATTTTGGCTGTCACGTCTCGGGCGTCGCTAATTTTTTGAATTTCGGCCCCCTTCCATGGACCTTGATATTTCCCGCTGGCACTGACATCGTTTAACCGGTAAGCGTTGTCGATGCAATTGCAATATGGCCTTCCGCATTCTTGTTTAATTCAGGTGCATTTCCGCTCCTTTGCGAAGCTTCTCTTTTTCCTCGAGCCGCGTCCTACACCAGATGACCGATTATTGGTGCTCGGATACGGCGCGGGAGTGTGCGTCTTGACGGCAGCTCTGCTCTACAGTCTGCGCCAGATACAAGGGATATGCGCAGCGGAGGTATGTTTCAGATTGCCCCGCGGGTCGGTCCGTCTGTCGTTTTTTGGTTTGCTGCTGCCCGCCCTTGGTTCGGAAGGCACGTGTAGTCGCTTTCGCAATGATCTGCTAGTGCACTCTGCGCTGCCAGAACTTTTCACCTCGACGACACTGCCCAGTATGAAACCAGTGAACCATTGTATCTTACCGCATTGCAACACTTGGGAATGATTGCAATATCCGTCGCCAATAGGCGTTGTCCACCGGTCTCCCTGATTTTTTGCTGCCGTCTCTGTATAGGGAGGCATCGACGAAGCGCACACCCTTTTTCCCGTGTACTCGGGCGGCACTCCCGCAGTCGCCAGTGGCTCAGATGAGCAGGAAGGTCCAAAGTCGAGCCTAACGCCTCCTTCGAACATCGACCTGCTTGAGGGCGAAGTCGCTGAGGCACGCTGGGACGATGCAACTCTCGTCTACGCCGCCTCTTGCAATTTTGATGAGAACGTCATGTTGGACGTGGCAAGGCGATGCCGCGGATCAAGGGATTGCAGGCGGGTGATTACTCTAGGCAAGCCGCTGCCTGCAGTTCAGTTGCGTCAGAGGGAAGAGGGAACGGTTGTGAACGGGGAGTTCAAAGTCGTGTGGCAGTGCCAGGTGGAAGGATATCGGGGTGGCACAACGGTGGCGTTTGTACACCACCGTGTATAGCCACTAGCGTAATAGAACGGGTAGGTTTGGATGTGTTCTCAACAATTGCCTGTTGTACGTTGTCACGGCCTTGTCCCTCCCTGCATAAACCCTCTCGTTGCTGCATGGCATATCCGGTGCTTTGGTGGCGAGAAGCGAAGCCGTCATGCGGGTGCGGTCGGTGATCCCACGCACACTACTGTAGGCGTTCGATAGGTTGGGTCCTTTATTGTGTTCGACTGGATTTTTCGACAGCTCGTGTCAGCTACTCAAGATTGTGTTTGTCTCATACCTTGTTCTTCACTGTTGGGAGGGGGCCTTTTCGAGGGTGCTTACGCGCCTATGCTGTGGTTAAGCCTGTTAAGCGTGTAGGATCAGGCTAGGCCATGAGTGTCTTACCCTTTGCCAATGCCTCATGGCATTAATAGTTTTGTCAGGATCATTGAGCAGTACCGAATTGCGGTGCTTCTAGAGCGGAGTCCACACCACCCGTCAAACGATATGCATAGATTGTTTTACTTTTCTACGAGTCCTAAACACACATGATGATTGAAGTATGTGGAGCGGAGAAAAAAATGGCGACTAGAAAAACCGGCACCTGTATCTACGGTTAGGGTTACCCAGAAGGCATCCCAAATTCCCAGGGCTCGCCGGGGATGCCTATGGGGTCCCTGGGGTGCAAGTGGTGCACCCAGGGATCGAGCTTAGGGTCTATGCTGCTGGCACGGGATATTTTTCTTATCACTCTTCTCGCACACCCCGTTTGGCGTCGTCTACACGGCATGTATGTGCATCACGTCTCCACAAGGAGCCACCTCCGTGTTCTAACCTCCCACTGCCGTGGGGTTTGAATATTCCCAAGCTCTCGCTTGGGTCTCTCCAGACCAAAAGCTTTTTTGTCGGTGTCATTTTCATTAGCATAGCCCACCCCTTGCCCGGCCGGGCCTCAAAAGCCGATTTCGAGCTACAGCACACGATGTGCGGCAACCGAGGGATGACTCGGTAGGGCATCGCAAATCATGACGCCTCCCCGAGTTTCAGCAGCTTCCGGCCACTACAGCAGACAAGAGGCATCGTTGTATGCTTCGCCCTGTTGTGCGGCCGTTGAACAGACAGAACGGGTCCTCTTCGCGAGAAATAGTCATTCCACGTAGCAAGCGAGAAATAGTCGTTCTACGTAGCAAGCAGGAGGGGTCGGTCCACGAAATAACGGGCTGACAAGTTTCAGTTCATGTTGTGGAAGTCGTGCGGCGCGCTCCTGTGTGCGAGCTGCATTTGTGCGAGTTCATGTGTGCGACCTGCGTCTCCATCGGGGCGTCTCTGGAGGAGCTGAGTTCTCTCCCTGGTAGCAGTATGCATCCTCTCTCGGGCAGCGGTGTTGCTGCTTCCGCTTGTTTTTCACCCATCAGGGACCGGCCAGTTATGGTTGTTAGTTTTGTTGTTGCCTTGTTCGGAACCAACCGTGGTTTGTTTCCTTTTGAGTGAGTCAGGACTGCTGTGCTGCTGTAGGCGGCGGGAGTTACATAGTTGCCTTTCTGTTACCCTGTTGCCCCTGCTCTTCCTCCAGTACATGCGCGACGCTTCGTGTGGTGTGGTGTGCTGCTGCTGCTGTGTTGTTACCTACAGTACAACGGACTTTTCATACTGTCTGGCTCAGTAGTTTTGATCTATCTGTCGTATGCATTGATAAACAAATCTTCCGAATACGGTTGACATCGGGTGGGTGCCCCGTCAGACAGAGTTAGCGACATATGGATTTGACATCGCGGGCTACCTTCCATGACAAGAGTACGGCTGTACGCCAGGTCCACTACGACGAGGACAAGCCCTTTCCGTCCGTTCTACGACGGGAACAAGCCCTTCCCGTCCGTTGGGTAGCCTCCGTCCCTCTTCTCTCCTGCCTAGCGTTTTTCTTTCTTCGTTGTGCTTACAACGAAACTCAAACGCGTCTTTGGGGACCGCGGGTCCTACAATGGACATTCCGCCGTTTCCTACTAGTTAGTTAACTGTTACGGTTTTCGGGGTCCGGTCCGCGTGATAGATTTGCTTATTCGTCGGACCAACTAATAGGATTTCGGGGTCCGGTCCGCGTGATAAATTTGTATATTCGTCGGACCCATCGCCCAAGAAATTGCGTGCGAACCAGGATATACACATGGACGTATCCCAGCCATGGTCAACAACTGTTGTCTGGTGCACGGGTACCTAGTTTGGTGCCCGTCGAGGCCCGCGACTCTGCGCTCCAGCGCGACCCCAACACCGCCCGCAGCGTGAAGAAGCGCAAGCTCAGCCTCAGCCAGTAGGAGGAGGAGGAGGAGGAGGTGGTGGTGGAGGAGGAGGAGGAGGAGCACAGCAACACGAGGCTGTCCAAGACGACGAAGACTCCTAGAGGTTAGCGTTTGTGCAAGATTGATGGGTGCAGACACCACCCTTCACATCAACCGTCCTGTTTTTAGTCACACACTCTTCCTCTTGTTTCTTTTCGCGCGCTTCTTCTTGTTGACGTTGCCGGTTTATGAACACTATGCTATCGACACCAGCCTTCCTCGTTACTTTTTATAGAGGGTTATAGGGGTTTCTTCACACTCGTCCTCTTGCAAAATTTTACGACTGGAGACTCGAACCGGAAACGTTCACCTTGTCGAGTGGGCAGGTAACCATAGATGCCTTCACATGAGGCAGAGGACAACTTCGTGACATACATACGCACTTTAGTACCTTCAACGCATACTTTTTTACTGGCTGTACGGGCCCGCAGATCAGACACGTCAAAATCGGGTTGAGCCTCAATCTCTTATTTGGGTCCAAGGACCAGCCGAAGTCGTCCATTATCTTAAAACGAATTTCTTATTCCTTTAGACTGTCGCACATCCTCCTGATTCTCTTATTTCTGGTACTTCGTATGCATATTTTATTCATTGGCTAGTCTACATTGTAAGACATGCGTCGCATTATAGACCAGAAAGAACTCTCGGTGTGGCGAAAATAACCGCTCTCCCCTACCCTCCCCCCTACAGAGATACTGTTGTTCAGCAAGGTAGGGGGGTGGGAGCACGGAAGGAGCAGCTACCCTTTGTTTCTTATATCTTGGGGGTATCGCGCCGTCATGATTCTTATTGGAACGTTTCTGATGTCGTGGCCGAGATTGAGCTGTGTTTCTTAGCCCTTTTCCCTTACCTTTCGCAAAATGTTGCGCCTATTTTTCTTAACAGAATTTTTCTAAACTGCAGGTCCGTTCTGTACTCGATTTACTTCTTTCCGGTCTTCCTCTTTCGGGAACATCCGTATGTCATCGGTGTGTTCCGGTTTCTTCGCAGGGACGCCATCCTCCAACCAAAGCGAGCGTCTTCGGCTGCAGCACGGACTCGTTTGACGCCTGCGGCCCGGACGGCAAAAAAACAGAAAGATCAGGAAGCTGCTGCTGCCAGAAGAACTGGGGGACCGCTCCCCTTTGTACCTATCGTTACGACCCCTCCAGTGTTAGCATGCGACAGCCCAGAAGGGAGGATCGACGGCCATGACCGCCCCCTATGCTCCGTCTCCCAGTCAGTCACGTCGCGACATGTGTCTAAGCCCATCGGGCGACCTGAGCCCCCCAGGCAATATGTCTATCAGTCCCTCGGGCGACTTCTGTATCAGCCCTTCTGGCCGCACTTTTTTGCTTCCAGGTCTACTAGTCTACGCAAGTTGAAGTAGGCATGTTTCTTCTTAGGGGTACTGTGTGTGTTGCTGTTTCTTTTCTGTCGACATCGTTTCAAAGGTCTCCCCTAAGATTTTCTTTCCTGCGGCGGCGTTGTCTCGTAAGTGCCTGTATGCTCTGTAATTGTTTTCTCTTGCAAGTGCCGTGTCGTCCATAACACTCACGCAATAAGATAAAACAACACGCGAGCTTTGGACGAGCAATGCTGACGATATTCGTCCGCTTGCTTTGAACAGCAACCAACGGGTCGGGCTATTCCGGAGGAACGGGCGATGTAACTCTCGATTGAAGGATAATGCACGGGAGAGGACGTTCGTGGGGCGACAAAAAAGCCACCGGGACAGATTTAACTTGGCGTCCGCCAATCAGCTGTCTCTATTTAACTTGGCGCCTACTTGGCGTCTTGTCTTTTTTCGAATACTTTTGGCAAATACGCCGCTTTTTCTTCTGCGCGCACCGCATTCGAACCAACCAGTTCAGAGACCGACACACATCAGGCGGGAGCCTGGGCGCTGCAACTGGCGCAAACCAGACGCCATCAGCAGCAGAGACCACTCTGGTCTCTATGTGCACGAAGTTTCGCATTGTCAATCCACACTGAGTGTCGATGACGATCACGCTGCAGCACCCGCCAGAAGAGCTACAGCGAGGAGAGAGAGGGAGATCGCACAAACACGCACGCACGCACACACACGCGAACCGTTTCTGTCTTTGATCCGGAGAATAGGTTGGTCTCCCCCATGCCGCCCCCTCACGGGGTCCAAGTTAATGGTATTTAGAATTGTTCTTGGTTTTCACCCGCACTGAGACTGACGTCTTTTCAATATTCAGCCGGTTAGCGAGGTCGATGCTAATAATAAAATCACACAAAAGCATGCATGGGTATCATCTGCACGCCCGTCCTCTCGCCAGAACACTTCAAGTAACGTGATGATGCTCTGGCACCTCCGCGTTGTTGTTTTTCGCCCTCTTGACTTCATCTATCGGTAGGTTCTTTGGCGTGAACACCCCACCCAAAGCAATCGCCATCAATCATCCATCCCGACGCGTCGGTATGTTGACAACCCGCATGACAGAATGTATGCACGGCGATTTCTTTGCTGCCCCGGTGACGGCATCTTTGCTCTGGTGTCTCCTTTCCTTCATTGATTCATTGAGTGAGGTGCAACATTTGAAAGCGTGTGGCCCACAGATGAATGGGTTTCACCGTGTATTGGCGGGCTTCCCTCGCGTAATTAAACTCCTAAAAGCTCTGTCCCGGTACATTCAAAATTTGCCGTTCGTGGCTCCTTTTTGAGGGAGTTGGTCTGCACCACCCGCTATTCTCCCGGAAGAGAGCAAAGCAACAGCATGCGCTGCTGTCCAAAGAGATAAATAGTCAGGTGAGTCTTCACGCGGTCGTCAGGAATTGTTCGCGTCTCTTTCCCATTGCACCACTCACCTTTGGCTGTTGCAAATGCTTTTCATGCGTTGGCGGGGTTTCATCCTGGGTCTTCTGCCACCAAAACCAAACAGACATACATCCAACCGCCAGGTCAATTTGAAAGAGGGGGTTGTCCAGATATTGGGGAGATGTGACCATTTGTAGTCTAATGCCCAAC